GAAGGACTAATGGTCCACAGCTACCAAGGTCTCCACCAGACTGAGTCCAGTACAGGTAGATGGTGCCCGGCTACCACCAGTGACTGCTCTGACCAGGATCACACAGAGGGTTCTGGACAGAGCTGGAGAAAGATGTAGAACACAATTCTAGCTCACAAAAGAAAGACCAGATTTACTGGCCTAAAGGAGACCGGAGAAACCCCAAAAGTATGGCCCCCAGACACCCTTTTAGCTCAGTGGTGAAGTTATCTCCGAGGTTCACCATTCAGCCTGGGAGTGGACAGCCCCGTAAACTCAAATGGGACTAATGATGTACAGTAGTCCAGTGACAAGGGCCAGAAGGGGACAAGGAAGCTGGTGATAGGGAACCCAAGGTTGAGTAAGGATATTGTTGATGCGATGTGAGATTGTTAACCATTGTCATAGGGTAATATGTGTAGTAACTGTTAAATGTTCTGTAAGCCTTCATCTTAAGTGAGAATAGCAGCATAATTGGAAGAGCGTAGTCAATGTCACTGAACTGTGCACGTAGAAATTTTTGAAATGGTGTTATCTTTGGCTATGTGTATTTTCACCAAAAAAAAAAAAAGGTTGAGAAGTTAGAGGGTTGACATGTTGTGGGGTTGTTAACCAATGTTATAAAACAATATGTGTACTACTGTTTCATGAGGAACTATTTGTTCTGTAAGCCTTCACCTGAAGTACAATAAAAAAATAAACTTTCTTGAGTTCTTATAACAGTGATCTCGTATGATATTTGTCTTTTTAACGACTGCCTAATTTCACTCAGCATAATGCCCTACAGATTCATCCATATAGTGAGATGTTTTGCAGATTCATCATTGTTCTTTATCATTGTGTAGTATTCCATTGTGCGTATGTACCATAATTTGTTTATCTATTGTCTGTTGATGGGCACCTAGGTTGTGTGCATCTTTTTGCTATTGTGCACAGTGCTGCAATGAACATGGGTGTGCATATATCTATCTATTCCTGTGACGGCTCTTATTTCTCTAGGATATATTCCAAAGAGTAGGATTGCTGGAGCATATGGTACTTCTAGTTTTAGCTTTTTAAGGAAGTGCCAAATCGATTTCCAAAGTGGCTGTACCATTTTACATTCCCACCAGCAGTGAATAAGTGTTCCAGTCTCTCCACAACCTCTCCAACATTTATTATTTTGTGCTTTTTGGATTAGTGCCCGCCTTGTTGGGGTGAGACGTATCTCACTGTAGTTTTGGTTTGCATTTCTCTAATGGCTAATGATCATGAACATTTTCTCATGTATCTTTAGCTGCCTGACTGTGTTCTTTGGTGAAGTGCCAGTTTTTCAATTGGGTTATTTGTCTTTTTGTTGTTGAGATGTCATAGTGTCTTGTAGATTTTAGAGATTAGACCCTTATTGAATATGTTATATTCAATATTCTTCACCAACACTGTAATTCAAGGGCATCAATTCTTCTTTGGTCTTCTTTACTCATTGGCCAGCTTTCACATGTATATGAGGCGACTGAAAATACCATGGCTTGTAACAGGCGCACCTTAGTCCTCACGGTGACATCTTTGCTTTTTAACACTTTAAAGGGGTCTTTTGCAGCAGATTTGCCCAACCCTGGTGGCATAGCTTTCAGCATCACAGTAACATGCAAGCCCCCAGAGTATGACAAACTGAC